CACCCAGGCGGCACCGCCGCCTGCGCCGCCCGCCACATTGGCAGGGTAGCTCAGGGTGCAGGGAACCACCACGCAGGAGCCGCTGACGCCCCGCAGGGACTCGGGGTAGGTGACCCCCCACGAACCAAGGGCTGTGTTGGAGGAAGGCAGCGAGAAGGGGAGGGGGGGGAGCAGGGAGTGAACCATGACAGGGTCCACCATGGGCTGCAGCTCCCTGCTCCCCTCCTGGGGCCCACCGGAGCCACCACGCCACGTGTCCTGGGCTGCCTGAACATGCAGGGGGTTGTGGAAGGCAGTGAGGGGCTCAGGGGGAGAGAGGTGGGAAAGGAGAAAGAGGGGGGAGACAAAATGGCCCAGGGGAAAATTTTGAGGTGGAGAAGAGGGAAATGATGGGGAAAAGCTGGATCTGTGGGTGGTGCTTTCGGGCAGTGCAAGAAAACAGCTGGGTTTGAAAAGCAAAGGCCTAAAAAACTAGTAAAAAAAAAAAAGAGTATTTGCCCTCCTGGCTCTCCAAAAGCTTGTTTCCTTGCCCCTCTCTCCGCCTCCTTGTCCCTTCTCTCATGTCCTGGCTGGTCCCCCTGCCACCCCATGCCCACCCCATCCCAGAGCCCAGCCCCATGCATGCTCATTGACGCCTGCCCATCGGGAGCACGGGCAGAGCTGCCATGTGGGCAATGTCCCCAGAGCATCTGCCATGCCATGGCCGGTGGGAGAGCCAGGACCAGCCTCGGGGTCCCCGGAGCCCATCCTGCCCATCCCTCGGGTATCACGGATGGCTCCTGGCAGGGACAGGGCATCAGCGCTCCCGCACCCATCCCTCCTGGAGTAAAACAGGGCAACCAGCCCCTGCAAGGGACCGGACCATGCTGGTGGGGCAGAAGGCAGCATCTCTGGGTGGCACTGTACCTGGAGGGACGAGGCTGGCAAGGAGGACGAGCCACCAGGGCAAGCTCATGGTGGCACCCCGGCCACCGCTGAGGGTCCCTGGGGGCAGAGGCAGGGCAGGCTCACGCCGCGAGGGTGGGAGGTGGCCGGTTTTCGGGATCGGAGTTCGGCAGAGGGGACCCTGACAACAAGAAGAGGTGGCCAAAGGCCTCAAAACGTGTCGCATGTCAACAGGTTATTGACCCACAGAGGATAAATCCTGCTCACAGCAACACCGGCGTCGCTCTGGATGTATGTTCAGGTGGGATGGTTTTAACTAGGGATTTATTAGTTTTTAGTAGGTTTAATGGCTTTTTGCAGCTCTAGACCTAAGGAAACTGACAAAATTATTTTTAAATTTAAAACAATTATTCTGTGATAATCCAGATTATTTTTTTCTGAAATTTCTTTTCATTATCACGAAAAAAAAATTACTTGATTAATTTCAGTTTAGATCGTTATCAAACAACTTAGCGATGTTTCCATATTGAACGAGGCAGCTCTTTACTCCCACAGCCAAACTTTTCCTCCTTCAAACAATGATTTGCTACTTTGCTAACACCTTCTTTTCCAACATATGCTTTGAATTTGCTGGCTGCTAATTTGGTTTAGGGAGGTATTTTAAACTCCAAAGCACTCACGAGAGCTTCACTTCTGCCCAGGATTTTTCCTGGCCAAACCGAAGAGCAAACAAAACCAGCCCTGTGAGGGGTTCCCACCACCCCGACCCTCCCCAGCATGATGGGGCTGGAGGGCTGCCCAGGGGCCGGGGGGAGATGGGGACCACGGAGGGGCCAGAAATAGCCATGGGATCAGTGGTGGCCACTGGGCTTGGGGCAAAGAAGGAAGGAAGCGCTGGCTCAGTGCCGGGGTCTGCTCCCCAGCCCCCCCCTGCCCCGGCTCACACCAACACCAAGTTTCGTTTCTTCTCGTGGTTTCGGTTTCTGGGTGGCATGGACCCTCGGCACAGGATGGGAACCCCAAATCCCCTCCGCCCGCCCGCCCCGTGCTGCGGCTGGGGAACACGGCAGCCCGCGGCGGGGCCCTGGCGCTCGTTAGGTCAATGAAATTAAAATAGATGTTTGCAAAGGTTTCTCGAGAAAAAGATTTGCGCCTGCACAACACATCGGCAGCCCGGGCCGGGCACGCTGCACACATCAGAGCTGCACAGGTTACGTGCTATCAACTAATACTGACTAGGCAAGAATATTTGGGTGTCATCCACTGGAAAACGGGGGAGGGGGAAGGCAAATATCTGGTGATTACTTAGTCTGCTCTGCACCCACAGTCTGGCTCAGCCTGAGCTGCCGCCGGCCCGTCTGCGGGACGGCCAGCAAAATCCCCGCAAGGGCTCCCGTGTGTGTCAGCCAGTGCAAGGGAGATCTCTCACTTCTTCAGGTTTTGGCAAAAATCACTTATTGCCATAAAAACATGGGAACTGGGGCTGAGCACCAAGAGAGGAAACTTCTGTTGTTGGTCCCTCCAGCCTGTTTCGGTGCAGAGAGAATGATGGAGATGAGGAGCACAGGGCAGTCGGGGAGCGTACCCCGGGGACGAGGGGTGGCAGGGAATTCCCTGCTCTTGTCCCCCAGTGCTCCCCACCACCACACGGCTCCCTCGGGCTAGGAAGCCCGCCCCCCC